TGAACATTAGTTGTTGAACAAGACCCAGTTAAGTCTCAATATAAGCCACTGCAATCCTCTTTATTGCTATTAACAGTTGGTCTTAGCGACAAGGCTGGATCTTGCCTACTGAAGGTCTGGTTTTAGTGATTCAGTGCGTTTCCATTGTTAGCAATTGAGAATAGATCATTCCAGCTCTTACGTTTCCAACGCTGTATATACAAAAGCAAAAGGGCAGTTCTTTTTCACAAAAGCTTATTATATTGGGGTCTGGAGTTTGTTGTTGTTACGGGTGTTGTGGATAAAACACAATAGATGAAAGCTCTTTTGAGAGGCAGCTTCTCTTCTTGATATTCTTAAACAGTGTTTCTCTCAGTGGGGCTCTGTCTGGTTTTAGCCTTCAAAATAAGGCATAATTTTATAGAGTGAGGAAAAAAAAGGAATTTTTAAAGATTGGTTGTAGCTTCTCAGCCTGTATCTATCTGCCATTAGGTGGTGCGTTGTCAGGATTCATCAGGACACGGGGAGACCTACAGACGGCACACAGAAGAAGCTGTTTTTTATTGTCTTCTAAGTCCATTGGCAACAATGGCTTGGAAAATTATTGCAATGAAGTTACAGTGATAAGTAAAAGTTATCTGAAGGACACATTCTTTGCTTCTGATTACATGAACCAGGGAGATACTGTCAAAACAGCGTACATTTGGACTCTACGGGAAAAACTGGAAAACACTGATAATTTGAATAGCAGTAAGGAGATGAAGTTTGTACTTGTATAACAGTGCAGGGTCACAAACCCAGAGGCTTAATAATGAGCTCTCAGCTCATACCAGAAATGCTTATCCATTGACACCAATGGAGACAGAAAAAGCCCCGAGTGCACTGGTTAATCATAAATTGGCTTTGAGCTACTGGTGTGGCATAACGTGGCAATGTACAATTCCAGAGTGTTCTGGGGAGGACTTTTTCAAGAGAGACGGGGAAATACTAATGCGGTTGCACTTGTAAGACTGCACCTGGAATTGTCTTTACAGTTCCAATTACCTACGTCAGAAGACAGATGAATTCAGCTGGAGCAGGTGCAGAAAACGGCCATTGGGATTAGCAGTGGGCAGTGTGTTATGCAGGAGTGAACTGGAAGAGTTTGATTTATTCATATTAGGACAATAAAAGTTAAGGAAGAATGCAACTGTGCTCTATAAATACAAGAGTGAATTAAACACAGGCAGTGAGAAGGCATAGTTAAACAAAAGAACAATATTGCCCTGAGCAAATAGGTGTGCGTAGCTTGACTCTGACGAACATTTCTAACAAAAGGTTCTGGAATACTAATAGGAGAAAGAAACCAAAATACTCTTTAGACCTATCTTGATAAATTTATGATGCTCATTGCATGGTATAGTTATCTATAAAGAGAACTCTGGCCCACGAAGTCTCTTTTGCAGTGTGATCCCAGACTTCCTGAAGTATATTGTTAATAGCGTGTTTTCAGTCTCATTTTTGTTAAGCAGCTAGTATGCATCCCCCTCTCAGGTAGTGGCACTCATGTTTGGACTAGAAGCTTGCAAGTTCAAGTCTTAAACACTCTGGTGGTGGACTAAATTGAGCAGACTCCAGGTACTCTAGGCAGGGATATGCAATTCAAAAATGTAAGTGAGCCTTCAAGGACTTCAACTTCTTAGCATAAAGTTAGGGCACCTCCTTCACCTCCACCTCTGCTTCCTCATCCCCGTGTCCTTTGTCTGTTCAGTCTTCCTGCCCTAGACCTTCAGCTTCTTGAATGAGTTACCGCCTCCTATGACTTAATACTTCCCGTCTTGCTTGTGTTTTCCAACTCATACAGTTTTTCAGCCTGCCTAAACCTTTTGTACTTCTCTGTTCTCTTCCCAAGCTGAAAAGTCTCATCTTGGGTGGCACGACAAACTGCCTAGTGCCTATCATGAATACACTGCAGTGTAGGAGCTTGTCTCCGTTGGGATGAGTGTTCGCAAACAGCACTCGTAACAGCAGCCTGTCAATCACATGCCAAGATCAGTGTAGCACGGCACGCTAAAGGAATTCTTTCACCAGCCAACAAAGTGATGTACTAGAACAGGCCCTCTAGTTAAAACAAGTTTCAGTTCCCAGGGCTTTGAAGAGCATTTGATCACATATTGGGCCACAACATTTGCTTGCAACTCTTGACAATACTTTCACTGTTATTGTAAGGGTATCATACCACAGGCTAAGCTATAAAACTGTGCACAGGAATAGGCAAAGCCCCCGATAGGGTTCATACTTACTTCTCCAAACGCCTTATGCTTCTGAGCTAAAGAATCCTTTTGTCACAGTTCCACAACAAGCATGAGAAGATGCCGGCGCTGGATGGGAGAAAAGTTTATTCTTTTAAAAAGAAAAAAAAAAGGAAGAGAAAAGGTTAGCTTGGAATCCTTTAATTGCATCTGGGCATCAGTCAATGAACAGTTTAGTAAACTAAGATGATTGTGAGTGTTTTTCATTTCCTGACTTTTTCTAATATTCATGTAATTTGATACCTTCCTTTTTATTTAAGAGACATACTGAAAACAACAAACTTAAGTTGCTCCTCTCTTTTCTGCCTTCTCTTGTGGCATTATGGTCACTAATTTTCACTATGGTCACTAACATTATCAGTCTCTCTGATTTGTAGACACGCTGTGCCCACCCCTTCATCATTTTCTAGTTGCCCATGCCCAGTAAGTGTGCGAGTCCGGAGTTACTGTACTTACACAAGGAATAGCATTGCGAGAGGCAGAGTTGAAGGGGAAGCCCTTGGGAGACCCCCAGCCGGGTACGCTACCTCGGTATGCTACAAAGCACGTTTCCCATTGCAGCCTTCCAGAACAGATTAGTTCCTAGGTGAACTATAAAAGCAGCAGCAAAGTGACTAGCACTAAGTAAGGGGGGAAAAAAACAACGAAGTCGCAGTAACTGATGAGTGCCCCACACCTGAAAAAATGAGAAACGTGAATAGTAAAATAGCTGCAGTCACGTTAAAGCAAGTTTGCTTTGAATGCGTCCTTACTGTGAAAGTTTGCTAAGGAGGGTGAGGGGAAAAACACACGAATGGAAACTGCAGGAGTATACACACCAGATTGTAGCTGTATTTTAAAATGTCTCACAGAAGTTCTTAACAATTTTCTTCTCAGAAAAATTTCTCCCCTGTGTAACACCCTTGCAATTTTCCACTCCCCGGAGAAAAACATCTCCCACTCCCAAACATTTAAGCAGATTGCCCATTTGTTAAAGCTCTAGCTTTTGTTTCCTTCAGGAAGCACTGAATTATCCTCTGGCTGCAAATCTTTCACAGGGCTCGCAGTGTGGTAAGGCTACACCTAGCCACCTGCTGTGGCTATGCTGCAACACCATAAAAGTTTCAGCTCTTATTATTTCAGTGAATTGTTTTTTCAAGACAGCTGTACAAAATGTTTGTATAGAGAGATTTTTTTCCCCCAGACCTTCCTGTGTTCTGAAATTCCTCTACTCCTGTAACAAGGAATTTTGAGTTTTTCATTAAACTATAATGAAAGTGTTACTGTTTCTAACTCTGGAGCCACGGTTAGGTGCTGGTAGCAGCTGCACAAAGCTCTGCTCCGCAGTACTACTCACAGCCATTTTATCATCTAGCACTAAGGTGGCTATTAAGCTACTTCAGGCCCTGTTGAAATGCACAGAGTCAACTACTTTGAGATGCGTTTTCTAGTAAGACACAAAGTCTTAGATATCTATCACCTCAAAAACTTTGAGGTATCGTTGCTTATACCTTCAGGCTGCCAAACCCCACTGGTTCCTAAGCTCTCACCTCTAGTTTGGTGGAATTCCAGTATTAGATAAGGGACTGCAGAAAGAGCATCTGGGACAAGGTCCCTGAAAAGGCAAAAGAGCAGAGCAGGAGGGGGCAGAAGGCTTGTTGGGGCTGCCGGCAATCCAATGGCCCAGAAATTTAAGCACTCAGCAGGAGTTTTGCTTTCAAGTCCTTATAGCAACTAATTGGAAGACAGGTCTCAACAATTAAGAAAGTTTTAAATGACATGCTATTCAGGATTGAAGGACAGGTGCCTGTCCTGTTTGTACCTTCTCTACTGAGAACTTTATTGTGTAAATAATTATTCAGGTGTCTCCACTTTGAAAGCTATCAACAGAAGAAGCACTGAAGGACACCTCAGAACAATTGGCCTGATCATCTGAATGGTCACCTAGAAGATGCTAGAGACTGGATTCAGATCCCTGCTTTAAATCAAGAAAACTGCAGGTAGGGAAATGGTTTCCCTTTTTCTGATATAAAAACACCTTTATTAATCTTTCAGACTTTTACAATTGTGGAAAACGGAAACAACAACATTCCCAGCAGCTTACTAGCTGTTCAGTAGGTCTTCCAGTCCACTAACACTATAGTCTGAAAAGTGGTTTCAGGTTATTATTATACTGTATAACTGTCCATCAAAGAGTAGCTGGTATAACGCTTTTGGACAGTACGCTGCAGAAAATAATTTCTTATTTAAAAAGTATTCATTTTAAGTGCTGATTACAGAGAATAGCAATGAAGGAAGAAAAAAAAACCCCAAAACACCACACTACTGGAGGACGAGAGGGCATCTTCCCCCAGAAGAAATCTGATTCATCCTTCTTGCAATGGATGGAATCTGCAAGATTTGTACACTCGGGAGTTATTTCATCTCTTGCATGGGTTTGCTCGAGAAAAGCATTTTTAATGAACTTCCATATGTTATTCCCTTGCTTCCTTTTGTATTTACCTGTTGGGGAAGGGATCCTTGATACCTTTGTTCCATTACAGCTTGGCTGGTTGTTTTCACGACAAAAGTCTACGCTCCAGAAGGAAACCAAGCCCTTTGGCAACCATGCAATTCTCACACAAAAGTTCAGGTCAGTTCTCTAACGGGCCAGATAAACTTAGACGCCCTCTAGAGATAGAAAAAAAAAAAGCAGCTCCACAGGCACAAAATGTGTAATTTGAATCTAGTGAAAACAGTGTCAGTTATAAATGATTCTTAATAACACAAACATGTTTATTTAATGATTCACTTCAGCTTAATTACACGGTAACAAGCTGTTATGATTCCATACTGCATTACTGCATGTGGTCTTCTTAAGATAGATTATAATTTCTGCAGAACAGAATTAACTGCCAAAGTACATTTTCAGAGCATCCCCCCCAGCTTTCTTGCTTTAGCTGACTAGCGAGATTCACGTTACAAAGAAGTAACAGATTTCTGATGCTGAAAGATACTGCACTCATGCCTCTTCACTTCTTCCAATTGGATCATTGGGAATTTTACTTGTTTTTCAAACCATTTGGCTACAGTGAGAAGCTGCTTCTCCTGGAATGAATGTCCAATGAACTGAAGCCCAACTGGCAAACCTCTCTTTGAAAGAGCTGTAGGAATACTTATGGCTGGCAGTCCTGAAAGAAAAAAGTTGCATATGCAAAGGTTTACTATTAAACAAATTCCACTGCAGTCATTTTTGCAACAGAACCAGAACAGAAATTACATAGAGGAAAAAGACCAGTTAAAACCATATGAGTCACTGAACTAAAGATACTGTCAGGTAATCACAAGGAAATGAATTAGAGCAATTTAAGGATATAGCATCTTCTCAAATGGGAATTAATTCTTCTCAGAAATAGATTTCAGCCTGACAAACCTGAAAGGATTCATCTGATCTGCGGTATCAACTCAGCTCCAAGGAGCCCCGTTTTAAATCTGGCTTTACATTCTCATTCATTTCAGAAATGAACTATCTTTCCAGCCTTATCACTGTATGATTTACAACATAGGGTTGATATATCTTGATACCAAACAGGTTAAATGACTGAAGGGAACGGACATTAAAACTCAGTAGGTAAGGAAGAAGTACTTGAATTCCTCTCCCTACTCACCAGCCATGTTTACAGCCTGTGTTAGAATATCATCTTGTGCACTGCGGGTTCTGTTGTCTTCTTTGATGAATTCCATATATGGTACTGCATCAGTCAGAGTGGTAGGAGTGAGCAAAATATCAACACCACTTCCAAAAACATTCACAAAGTCATTAGCAATGAGACGCCTGACTTTCTGTGCCTTGATAAAGTAATTCTCATAGTTTCTAGAAAGAAATATGGAGATGAGGGTTGGATGCTTTAATTCTGAAAACACACAGCTTAATTTCTTAGCGACTTTAGAAAAGACAAGTCCATTATTCTTCCTGGGTAAAACATTAACTCATGCATTTGAGTTTTTGATATACCACAACCTTAGTCATCAAACATGGTGCTTATGCTCTCATAGCCATTAAGTGGTCAGAGAAGGGAGATGATCACCAAATTTTTATTCCTCATGTAAATATGTAAGCCGTAGTCCATGGAGTCCTAAACTCTCTTTATACAATTCTGAAGAAGAAACAAATTAGTTGGCTTCACATTTATCATTCCATTTAATTCCACATGCAGAACATCTCTGAATTTGGGGATTTCACTGCGCATTCAGAAGTTCAATTTCAAAACAATGGGCATCTAAGACAATACCTACTCTAAAAACAGGGGTATTAACAACCGTATCCTAAGACAGTAGGAAAGTCTGCCAGAGCGTGTGTGTGTGTAGATAAAACAACTGAAATTGCTCAACACCCAATCTCTCACCAGAATAATCTAAAGATTTAAGTTCCTAGGAAACAAACAAAAACATTTGCAAAAAATAAGAGACAGTAGACTCTAGTTGACAAGTTATTTTATGGAAATTAGCCATCTTTGAGTCCTTTCCAAAATCATGCTAGCTGTTAATTTACGGAAACAATAAAAGGAATAATATTTTATTTGAGGTCCTTTTTAAGCTGGAAAAACTACTTCGAGTTAAAAAAAAAAAAAAGGGGGGAAAAATTGTTAAATCTAACACATACGCTCCATTAATTCTGATATACGCTTACAAGCATCCATCATTTCATGAATCAAATACCTAGTTATTTTACACATTTCAAAAGCTAGATAAAAATACTCTGTAAAGGGCAATGTTTGCAGGAGAGATGGAAACTCGTCTCTGCTATTTATTCTAAGAATGTTTTCTGAACCTTGCGTTCTGTTCTTCAGAAGTAGTTTACCGATGACAGGAATAGGACTCCTTCTGCTCAGTCCTCATGGAAGCCAATCTTGCATTCCTTCACCAAAAAGCGAGCTACATGAATTTTAAAGCATTCATTCTAGGCCTAGGAAAGCTGATCTTGACAGTTGTAACCAGAAGGAACACACTTAGCAGGAACGCCAGCATTCCATAAAAGCTGGTTGTTACATACTGACTGACAACATTCCTGCCTCTGAGAGCAACTAGAAGTCACATCTCATGAATACTCTTGCTGACAGAGCTCTTTCTGTGGTGCGCTTGCTTTGAGACTGATTACACAACTAATTTTTCTGTTTTCTAAAGAAATTCAGACAGGGAAAATAAGAATTCTTACTAGCATAATTTTAAATTAGGACTGTTAAACAAGAAATAAAAAAAAGAAAGAAAGAAATCAAACTCTGAACCACGCACCAGCTTTCCTGCGTGAATCTGATAAACATTTGGCTTAGTTTCTTAGTACCTTTACCAGTGCCTTCCCTTCCCTGTATATTGAGTCAGAGAGTTATACTTAATTATAACTGCCACACCTTCTCGCTTTCTCCAGAAGACCTCAGTAGAACGTACCAGAAGATTTTCTGTGCAACTTTAACGAGATTAATAGCTACAGAACTTTTAACAGTACAACAGTGACAACTTCAGTATGGTATGAGTAGCATAGAGTTTTGCATAATTTAATAGGTGCCAATAATACTCTGATGGGGGGTAAAATTACTATGTTATTTTACTTAATTAGTTCAAAAGGCTCACTGGTAGAAATAAAGGAGACCATTTTTACTTGTTATTCACTAGGTATTACATAGCTAAAGCAATAATAATGTTACAGATGCCTATTAGTGTAGGAACAGATTTTTTTTTTTCCAAGTCATGATAACCAATTTCATTACAATTTGTGTAACAAATTGTTAACTTGGTAAATTTGAACTTTAAGATGTGTTCTGCTTACTGCTTCAACAAAAAGTAGTTTCCCGATAGAATTCTTCCTCTTACAACATCATTAAAACCTTCTCGTCGTGTTGCAGCATACATACTTTCTGTGGACTTGTTCATGTCAGCACGGTAACCTAAAAAGAAAGAAAAAAGCCAATTTGGAAATTAAGGGTTTTTGTGATCTTTCAGATTTAGTAACATAAAATAATGGTACATATAGCAACACAATATGTCACCATTTACTGCAGTCTGACATGCTACTATTCTGGAAAAACAACAAAGCATTTTCATGTTTTATTATAGAGATATTAAACAGTTTTTAACCAGACACTCATGTGTCTATGAGGGAAATATTTCTATTCACCGTTACTGATAACTTCAGCTGAGAAAGCTGCTATATTTAATCTCCAATTTTCAATAAAACGTGCCTTCCCTTTCCTAACATGAACACATGTAAATACTTCAATAATTAGGGTGACTTAGTACTGAGTTTATCTTGCGCAAAGATAAACAACAGAACTCCATAATGTCGATCTGTACTCTTCAAAGGAGGTACCTAACCAGTGTTTTTTTCCCCTCAGGCTTAAAAACAGATCTGTGAAAATAAATAGCTAGTTCATGTGCAACCTGATACTAAGCCCGCTGACATCTCTGAAGTATATCACTGAGTTTTCAATGATACCTTAAATCTTTTCAATAACTTTAAGCACCCCAAAAGGACTGAAAAAGCATTCACAAGACTGAAAAAAGCACTGGCATATTCATGCAATTCCACTTGCTGCAATAAAGCAGTGCTTTAATGCAGATTCTGGACGATCAAATTATTCTGTGATTTAGATGAATGAAAAGACTTAGAACTTCATTTAAAATCTCGGTTCTGCTTATTGGAGTTCTGGGATCACTGCAATATCAAATTTGCTGTAACAAATTAGGATAGAACAGACTCCAAAGGGGTAGGATGCTACAGACATTATAAAAGCCTATGTTCCAAATAAAAATGAATGGAATAGTAATATCTGTCAAAGTTTTTCAAAGACGTGCATCTCTTCTATATCAAATTACTAAAACGTAAAAGTAAAGACAGGATGTCAATTCTTTATAATGCTGTTTTATTTAAAGCTCTCTGGAATATTAGTACTTTCTTTAACTAACTTCAGAAATAGGGTTTTGTTTACCACCATTACCACCACATATGCAAGACACACGAACAAATAATGACATGTGTTTGACAAAGTAAAGCAGTAATCCATTAAACCTTGTCTTTCTTGATCTAGTTATATAATGCAAGCACAAATAAGTTATTTTAAGGTTAGCTCATTCCTTTGCCCATGGATTATGAATTGTTCTTTAGTTCATATTTATATACTTCACATTTGTTAAAAAGCAAAGTGACCAAAAAAAAAAAACATATGCAAGATATGCTCTACCTAAAAAAAACACTGCATTCACCATTTACACTGGTTCAAGTGTTTTAGTTAACAACACAGAGCCAATAAAAAGGTTAGATGGTTAGGTTGATATTTTTTTTTTCTGACTAGGCCTGAAAAGGCACAATAAGGCACTAGCCATACAGTGAGTTTAACTGAGCAGTTAAAAAAACAAAAAAAACCTGATAACACTATGGGCAGTACCATCATGTATCTGATTTCAATATTATTTGATGTTCTAGCAAATATATTCTAAATACTCAATCAAAACTAAAGAATACTAAAGAACATACAGTACTCCATACTTTTACTAATTCATAATTATAAAAATAAAAAAATTTATTCACTCCCTTAGCCTAAGAGGCATGTGGGTTTCACAACAGCGAGAGTACGTCAACATTCAGGTTATCTCAGTTTAAAGATTTACTCCAGCTTTATTTGAACAGGGTTTTTTACTCTACTGCAATTTAGAGAAACATCACCAAAGATTCAACTATGGAATGCATACACGCTACAACTGATATTTTTAATGCACTCAGTAACGTTTGAGAACAAAAAAAAAAAGAAAAGATTCAAAGGCCTTACCATATTCCAGTCCATCAAACCTGGCCATATTTGATGCTACTTCTGCTGTGCACAGCACATGATAGCAGACAATTGAGTAACGAGTGTGCGGTAAGCTCACTTCAATTACTTTAGCACCTGCATCCTTAAAGAGGTCAGCAGCCTTTGACCACAGTGCCAGAATTTCACTAGAAAGCCCTGGTGCATGGTATTCCTTAAACAAAAACAAGGAGAGTGATTTTATACACTAGTTTACTTTTAACGGCAGCCAACATACAAATACCATGTGCTAAAAACACTTCGAAACTATTCCCTCACCACTGAATGATCTTAAGAACTTATTATAGCCTTTTGTATCTACTATATATTATAGAATCAAGTGGTGCGAGTAAACAGGATTCAGTCTTTCAAAGAATATTATGTTCATTTCAGTAGCATCAACCTGTGTAATGCAAGCAATGGAATTTCAGCAGTGATTTCTGGGTGAGAAGTTCCACAGTTATCCACTTGTTCATCCGTTTACGGAGATGGTAATCCACTGCTCTGCAGTTCATGCGCAGCATCTCTTCACATCTAAATCCTAATATTAGGGCTACTGTAAGTAGGGAAGGTAGAAAGAAATTACGCCTACCGCACATCAGTGGCAACTGGTATGCCTTAGTCAAAAAAAACCAAAACAAAACAACCCACCAAAGAAGAATTATAATAAGGGGGCTGTGATAAGGCTTAGACTAAATTAGCTATGCTCCTGTTTAAGAGCTAAGTTATTCTGTTAAATTTGCTGCTCTTGAAGATGTTTGCTTCGTTTCTATAACCCACAAGGTCAAAATACTATCTGGTTTCTGAACAGCTACTACCCATGTTTAATATTACACACATACTTATTTAGGATAACGTGTAACAGCAGAAAACAACTGTTCAAGGAATATGGATAATTAACTAAAAGCGCTATATCAGATTTATCAAAATCTAAACAACAGGCAGCTAATTTTCCAGTCATCCGATTCTTGCATTTCACAGATCTTGAATAATTCATTGGTCAGTGAGCATCTTTTTTTTTTTAACCTAATTAAATCTTTTGGTTTACCTGTTCGAGCACAGGAGGAAAAAAAAAAAAAAGTTAACTTTGTCTCTTTGAAGACAGAGCCTTTAAAAACTTTACATCAGGTAATCAAAAAATAGATCAAACTCCTAAACACTGTACCTAAATTACAAGTAAATTTATAGCTACCAAAATTATTGAATTGGATGCATCAGAAGCCATATTACTTGCTAAGAACATTAACAGTTATGATAAAGTGGTCTCTCCATCCCTATTAGAGCCCTATAAGTCCCAGCTCCCTGTGCCATTCAATTGTCTTAAATTATGCTTTGTATTAACACAGTGCCATTTACCGAAGGAGCCCAAAACACTGCGCAAACCAGGCCTTAGCATCCCTCTGAGAGCAGTGCTAATCTCATTGTATGAGAAGTCACTAAAAGTAGCTTTGTTCAGGTTATACAGGTAACTGATGAAAGAGCCACAGATAATCAGGAGTTCAAGTCCCCCATTTCCTCTATAACTTCCAAGCAGTGCTTTCCACAAGAATGACAAAGCACTCCAGATGAAGCACTGGCACTGCTCGCTCTGAACCACCTGCAGAGGCAACAAAGCACATACTTCTCTTCTCCAGGGGCTGCTCATACTGCCTTCACTGATTTATATCACAAGAGACTGGGAAGTGAGCGGCAAGATATAAAGATATTTTGTATTTTGGTAGTAGTCTTATTTGCTGTTCCTGTCCATCCAACCAACTATTGACAGGATTTAAATGTTACCTTAGGAATTCCTATACAGAGCTTGCTGACATCTATCCAATTGGGTAGTTCAAACGGCTTAAAGGTGTCCTGAATTGTGGTAGAGTCTTTAGGATCATGTCCAGCAAGTGAACCTGAAATACGAAATGACATGTGAAGAACAGGTTATTACAGTGAATAACCTGAATTCAACTTGTTTTGAGACACGCTGTAAACAAAGACATGCAGTATACAAAGGCACATATAGTAGAAATACCTAACACAACTGCTGCATCATCCACGCATCTGGTTAAGATTCCTGGCACATCCATGGAGTTCACTAAAGGAATGAGACCATGGCGAGAAATCAGCCCATACGTTGGCTTTAAACCTACTACTCCACAATGAGCAGCAGGGTTTCTGGTAGATCCTCCTGTGTCTGACCCTAAAGCTCTACGGTTTCAAAAGAATTACTGTTAGTAAAACAATTCAGAACACTTCCAAACAATAAAAATGCATGGCTTTATGATGTGTACTTATAAAAACACGTGAATTCTTCCAGATTAGAAGTCATAATCACACAGCCTAGATTTCAGTCTGCTCTGTACATCCACTAGTTTCTAACTGTTCTTAGCATCCTTCTTAGGCCTCCGAATTAGTCATGAGAAGAGCTCAGTTCTCTCCACCAAGCAGAGACAGACAGGTAGAAATTAAGCCCTCTGAATATGGTTCTAAATATCTACTTGCGTATCTCCGTTGTTCTGTTCCATTCCCTGTGTTTTCTGAGAGATATGCCTCATGCGATTTAGTATGTAATTTTCAGCATTCGTATCTCACTTAATTCTATCACCAATAGACTATGAAGCAGCACTTCTCAGTATACAAAGAAATCATGACAAACTATGCGTCTTCCCCCTAATAAAAGGGAACACTTCCCAGCAAAGAGGAAGGCTGTTTTTCCTGCTTTCCAAGCCTACAAAGCACAGCATCAGAACTCCGAGTTTTCGGTACTGCAAGCGCAATTTTAGAACGCTATTTGTTTATTTATTTTACAAGTTGACTCATTTTATCATTCTTCTGTAAGCGAAATCTTGTTATTTTTAAATCGCAATTTTTATATCAAGAATTGGAATGGAATGGGAAAGTGACACTGAAATGACATCTGTTCTTCTCTTGTTTTTAATGATTTCAGCTCAAACAAATTTTTAAAATAAAACTGTTGTCAAAGATTTTGATGAAAAATATAAAATAAACTGGAAAAGGAGGCATAATTTTTACTGAAGTGGCATGTGACTTTTCCCACAGGCATCCATTTCTGAGACGGCTGAAACGATTCAACTGACTGTGCTGAAATGGAATTTTCTTGAAGTTTTTATGTTGATGCAAAACGTCTTCATTTCTGTAACATTTCTGTAAATCCTAATCTCAAATTGAAAAGAAAAAGACTGGCAGCATTCCTGATGCTTGAAAGAAATTAACAGAGAATATGGAACAGGCTATAGGCAATAAAAGAGATGGAGAAAAATCTCCCCGGTCTGACAGAGTGCTAAGCAGTGCAGATTGGAAGGTAAGCATGCCCAGAAACATCAGAGATGGTGCCAGACCATCTCAGGATCAGGCCATTCTGGTTCAGGACAAGGACCAGCAGTCCTTGGGACAGGCTGCACTGCATTCACTGTAAACAGTATTAGAATGTGAGTAGACTACATCTTTGCAAAGGACGCTGAGATGAAGAGAGGTATAGCAAGTAACGTCAAGTTTTGTATGTAAAAACATAACTAATTAAAAAAAACAGAGGAAAGAAATAATTGTAAAACAATACTTAATGAGCAAAAAATATTAAAAAAGATACACATACATCATATAGTCTATGGGTAAACAAGGACACAGTAGTTAAAGAGCATTCTTAAAACACCTTCCAGTTAAAAGCACAACTGAAATAATCTTATACACAATGAGCTCCACTATGTAGCTCTAAAAACTGCCTAAGTAGAAAAGCGTGAAGTTTTAAGGGTCAGATTTCTCTCAATATTTGAATGGGAAGACAGTATAAGTAATTGACTTTTTAAATAAAGGACTGCTATTCCATGCAGATAGTAAGTATTAAAAAAATGCCAGCTTGTTTATTTTTAACTCTCTTCTCTTTTTTTTTTAAATTATGGATAAACATCTAAGTTACCTAAAGGAAGCCAGCTGCACAGATAAAGGGATCTGAAAACTTTTAGTTCTCAAATCTCTTGCATTTGTATTGTTACATAACCCTGCTATACAACAAAGAATAGGAGGAGATATTACTACAGAGTTATCAGTTGAGGAATCTTGTCATTTTCTTATAGACTTAGAGTCTAATAGGCTTATCGATGTAGAGAATATGTCACAAATCCTATGCTGTTTTTAAGAAAGTATGTGGGAAAAACAATCAAACGTCATTTCTTTACTGCCATTAGTATTTTATTTCATGCAGCGCAAAATGCTTGCACCAGTGAGCACAGGAGGACTTAAATTTAATAAGCTTAAATTTACCTACATGGACTCATTCTGGCTACATGTCATGCCATGAATAAACTAGAGATGCTAAAACAAATTCTTGTGTACCAGTGCAAATAATCCTGTAAACAGGATAAACATTTTCCCTGAAACTTAGTCTACGAACTAGCTTATTAGAAATTATAAAATTAAAACCTTGCAACACATTTTGAGAAATATAATTAAAAACAATTCTAAAAAGCCTCTTACGCAAAACATGTGAAAGATGATACAGCAGCGGCACTGCCTCCTGAACTTCCTCCTGTTATCACCCAGTTAGACTCTTCATTCTCAGAATGGGATTTTGGTAGAGTTTTCTCTTTGTACTGTCTTGAATAACTCCAGGGGTTTCTGACTGGTCCAAATATTCCATCCGTACTTCCAGATCTAAGATATTCAGATAGGATAAATACAAACAAGAGTGACAGATGACACTCTCCATTCAACGACTTTTTCTTCATGCAGTTCCTCATTCTTCACCTTAGCAATTTCAATTTCAACATGGAAAAACAGCCGTATGTATATCCTCATGCAATCAGCTCCAACAACGTTGCACAGAATCGCAAAGTTTTTACATCTTCACCCCTTTCTGACACAGTACTTTGATGGAAATATGAACTCATACCTCACTCTGACATGTGCTAATGCCCCTGAAACTAATGTAATAACACAGCAAAAACGACTGTGAGCCACGTTACAATAAAGCTGCGTATCTGCTACAAAACAAAGGTCTTCAGCTTCCTAACTCTGCATTTGCAAAAGACAAAAGAATATGACCACAGTCTTGTGGAAAACCATAAAACCATGCTGGTAGAGGTTTAAAAAAAAATAAAAAAAAGCACTGCAACAGCAGAAATGAGCACTGCTCTGTAAATAAAATGCTATTACTCCCTCCGTAGCCTTCTCCTGAGGCCACAGTCTGTTGGTTAGATTGCTAGACCGGCTTCTCAGGGTGCAGCTTCAGTTAGCCTACACCAATCTAACGGTGGGCTGCTACCAGAAGTGTGCGTGTGGGGGGTGGTTTCCACCTTTCTCCCAAAAATCTACTTCACGTTTTTTCTGACTCTAGGTTGCCCACGTTACTAGCCAAACCACCAGACAGAACAGGCAATTGACACAGTGAAAACTAACCTTACCAAGATATGACTTTTGAGCTGGATCAGCTCCCTGATCAAGCTCACGGCGCAGCCACGCTGGTTTTGGCACAAGCGAGACCATGCAAACACACAGTCCAAAGATGAGGTAAGGGGCGGAACAATCCTTTTCTGCAGAATCTGGAGCTTTGATGAGCTCAGACCAGCTGCATCACTGCATAATCAGTTGTTTTCCTCTGCGCTTTTTCCCTGCCTTTCTTTTGAGGAGTTTCTTTTTGACAAAGAAATGATTTTATCCAAAACAACACAGCCAGAGTACTTCAAGCAAATTGTCTGAATTCCCAATCAGTTCTGTCTTTGGTTTAGACAAAACAAAAACCAAAACAAAATACAACGCTTACTACTTCTCACGGGCAACTAAGTTCCCAGACAACCTATTCCAGACCCAGCAGTCTCCCATCCTTAACTGTCCATCACAACTCCCTGCCATAGCTTGCTGCCTTCACTGATTTGCTGGAGAATCCATTTGTAAAAACACTTCCCAACTTGCTCCTGACAAAAGCCAGCAACATTAGCTTAGGCAATTTAAAGTATTGCTCTGGATTAGCCCGTTTGCAGAAAATCAGGAAGAACTCGTACAAATTATCCCAGTGGATGACTGGCAGAGGCAGTAACTGTCATCAGGGGCATCGTAATAATTAGCTAAGGTCAGACATCACCAGTAAGCAGAGAGAGGAAGGCAACAGACAACTGGGGTAGTAACCAATTCTACTAACACAGCTGGATCAAAAAAAAAAAAAACCTTCTTGCCTTCTGAAAGGGCTGTACCACTTCCTCCCGCTCAAACACAGCTCTGGTCAAACACTACTTTCATAAAAATCAGCATTTATCTGATTTACACAACTGTACAATTGTTCATGGAGAAATTCATGCAACTCCACACGCTCTTTGAGAATAAGTATTCACTATTTTTTAACTCACACTAAGAAGAACTAAGGATTACAGATAGATCAGAACAGATGGTGTATATTCTATTTAATGTGCAATCACATATTAAAAATAATAAACATCACTCACCCCATTGCAAATTCATCTAGGTTTGTTTTTCCTAAAAGGACAGCTCCCTGATCCAATAATTTCTGAACTACTGTAGCATTGTAAGGAGAAATATAACCTGAAAACAATCAGAACAGTTAAGAGATTGGTTGGTGAGATACGGATGATTTTCAGAAAGAACTATTCCTCCGAACTCTCCAAAGTTGCCACTGCTTTTGCCTAAGAATTGTGACTTTACCGTGCTAAAACGCTGCTTCATGATAACACTAGTAATTCTCAAAATTCATCAAAAGTAAACAAATATTGTTGTGTTGACAATGCTTTTCTTCTTCCACAATTTACACTCCAGTAATTCTGCATTGTACAATCCTAAACTGTAGAACTAAGACTTCACACAAACAAGACAAGGGTAGCAAATTACTGGAATCAGCCAATTCGCAGTAACTGTCTAAAATGCATAGTCTTACCTCACAGCAAATGAGAAACAGCTCTTTCCAGAAGAGTGCTAAGTTACGTTGCATCATTTGCCGTTATTATGAGATAAAGGAGCGTATAGCTAGCCACATGCTGAAATTCTAACTGGCTATCCTGTGATCAAGCGTGTGATCTCTTATACCTTACATAAACTAGGATGAGAAACATATCACTTGCATAAGATACTGGGTAGCAACCAACTCCCTGTTTGAATGCTGACAGAAATTTCTCTACCCCCACCCTGAACTGGAATTAGCAAAAAAGAAAACGTCGCTCCCAATACTCTCAGCCATGCTACTGCAATCAGTCACAATGGGTCTGAAAATGTGCATAAGCAAAAGCATGTGAGGTAACATGAAGCTTTTAAAAGGGGGAAGTCTTTTTTTTTTTTTGTTTCTTTCATTACAAAAAACACGGTCATCAGATTAGCTCAAATAAATTAGCAGAATCCTATGTTTCCTCAGTTTTTCAGCTTTGCTCTGTACGTACAGTGGAATAAAACTGATATAAGAAATGCTATCTCCTTAACCGGAAATTAGGGAGTCTATTTGTGTTGACCTATCCTATAACAAAGATATAGGATAGCAGTTTTTTTCAATTGCTTTTATTAAGGAAACATTCTAAGTTCTTGAAAATCTTCACGGACTCTTAATTGAAAGAACGAGCTTATGAAATTTGAACAAATTAAAAAAAAAAGACCAAACTTCTAGGATATGTTTGTATATCAAGGAATGTAGAGAAAAACCTGGAATGAGTACTGTCTCACAGCAATATAGAAAAACTATTTAAGTCAGAATTATCAACACAACAACAACAAAAAAAAAGGCTTTGCATTTTGCTAGACAGGACAACAGCAAAAAGTACCAACTGCTCTCCTGTAAATCTAAAGCTAATATGAAGCAAAATGTGAGCTAGGGAGTGGTTACGTTTTCATTTATTGGCTACAATAAACATTGCGTTATTAACAGCAACGTAACTATGGAAATAAACAAGAGGATGTGTTTATAACAGAAAAAGATGCACCTGTAATACCGAACAGCTTGGCAGAGGAAAGCAGAAAAACACTGAAATGACTTCAGTTTATTTTTTGAAAATACTTAAATTTCCAGAAGAGTCTGCTCCACAATCCCTTTAAAGAAGAGAGTTAGGGCTTTGAAATGAGATCTGACTTTACTTAAAAAGCTCGACTGTACCTTTTAGCATGTTTGATGCACATGTTGTCTCAATGCCAGCTGTATTAAAGTTGTCTTTTACTGCAATAGGAATTCCATCTAGAACACCCAGCGGCTGACCTGCATTAGGAATTATCACAAAGACAACAGGGATTAAATTGAAGTGTACTATATGTATGTTCTTCTTATAAAGTAAGATACAATTGATATGTTCACTTTTGATTTTTTTGTAAGTAAGAATGCTGTCCACATCAGATGGGACGGCTGTCTGTTACATTTTCAAGAACCGTCTTCTGTTTTAACACCAGCATTAAGCCTGCCCGGATCAGACTTATCTCTGTAGAGCCCAGCTCTGCAAATTTTCCTAAGCCTCAATACAAGCAGCTGCTTTCAGACAGGTTAGTAATCCCAAAGGAGTGCTTACTTCTTCAACCATGACCACATAATGGCTTTGTCAGCCTTACGTACTGCCTAAATCGACTCCATTCCTAGGCTAGGAGTCATAAATTCTGCCTATCTGACATACACAGTAGATATGATCTTAAAAAAATGACAGTAGCAGAGAGTCTTCCCCAGGTGACTGATTAATCACCACCCAGCCAAAAAAAAAAAAAAAGTGCCTACGCCAGGAAGCAAAACACTCTGGTTGGCAATTTTCTTAGGCTGTCACAGGTCAGCAAGCATCACCCAGAAAGGAGAAAAAAAAAAAAAAGTACCCCATCAGGTGAAAATGCCTTTTTTCTATCATTCAGGAAATGCAAACGAGAATTAAGAAGGGAAGTTTGTCAGTGAGGACACAACAACCTCCAGCTGCTGTAGACAACACCATTTAATGCTCGTCCGTTTACCAACAAACAACTGAAGATTATCAGAGTTGCTTTATTTTTATTTGCCTATTTCAAATTTAAAACCTGATGTGCCTAGGAGGAGATGTGACTGTCTTGCTTGACGGGCCTACAAAGACCGCTACATCTTGTTGTGTGTGGATTTAAACTACCCTCCTGGGGGAAAGAGGGGGCAGCCAGCTGCAGCAGTGTGCGGTAGGTACAGAGCTTACTTCGTCTCTACTGCTTACTACTGAAGTAAGCTAACTGGCTTAGAGCAGGTCTCGCCCTGGACGGCTGAAGCGGATACGCTCCTGGGTAACGACGAGCGCAGACCCACAGAGTTCACCGCTGTGACCCCCATCCACTAAGAGCCAGAGGAATAACACGTACACCTGCTTTAAGAATAACAGGTGCTTCATTTAACAAGGAGAGCTCGCCCGTGGTGCCTTTTGAAGGACCAGCGCCAGATACCAAGGAGCTAACACACCTCTCCTGTATCTTTTCTCTGACTCTTCAGCCTGCTTCAACGCAGTTTCTTCCGCGACGGTAACGTAGGCGTTAAGGAACGCGGTGCTCCTGATGAGGGAGAG